AAAAAAAAAAAAAAAAAAAAGTATCTCTTGTTTACAGCAACAAAAACTTACAGCAAGATGAGTTGATCCTTTGTGTATTTCATGGAAAGGGCCTTAGAGTATTCCTTGTGAAAATATACACTTTCATTCTAGGGACGTGTATAGAAAACAAACATGAAATTTCCTGATTCCAGGGGTTGGGGGTGTAATTCAGGGGTAGAGTGCAGGCCTAGCATATGGGAGGCCTTGGGTTTCATTTCCAGTACCAAAAAAAAAAAAAAATTTTTTTTAAATGTATATTTCTTGGCAAGGATGGAGAAAAGGTAGTTATTTTCAAAGACAAAATGGACACTTTGTAAGTAAGCACATGACTGCATATACTGTCACAAAATTTACTCTGGATTAAATTTATTTTAAATTAAATTTATTTTGTTACTGGGGATTGAACCCAGGGGTATGCTACCACTGAGCAATACTCCCAGTAGTTCTTACTTTTTCATACAGGGTCTTGCTAAGTTGCTAAGAGGCCTCAAACTTACAGTCCTCCTGCCTCAGCCTCCTGAGTAGCTAGGATTGTAGGCAGGTGCCACCACAACTGGCTACTGAATTAAATTCATTTTTGTGTGTCCTGAAAACCAATGTCTAAAATATGGCATGATGTAATGGTTAAAATAAGCACAAGTGTTGTTGCATCACTGTAGAAAGATTGGAGTTGGTGGTTGAAAAATAATAAATACTCTGAAATTTTCTAACCCCAGAATATAATTTATTTCACACTTTATTGCAACTTTTAGACCATACAGTGTACTCTAAAGAAATGTCCAAGTTGAGCCAGGCTCAGTGGCATACATCTGTACCCACTGACTCAAGAGGGTGAGGCAGGAGACACAAATTTAAGGCTAGCCAGGGTAATTTAGGAGACCTTGTCTCAAAATAAAAAATAAAAGGGGGGCTGGGGWTGTGGCTCAAGCAGTAGCCCGCTTGCCTGGCATTCGTGCGACCCGGTTCAATCCTCAGCACCACATACAAAGACGTTGTGTCCGCCAAAATAAATAAATAAATAATTTTWAAAATAATTAAATAAATAAAAGGGCTGGGGCATACTCAGGGATAGAACACCCCTGGGTTCAGTCCACAGTACCACACACCAAAAATAAATAAACAAATAAATAAGAAGAAAATTTTAAGAGATTTCTAAACTGAAACTTTATTATTATTTAAGGAGGAAATCCTTTAATCCCCACTCCTCCTTCATTCTTTATTCCTTTTCCAGCCTATAATAGATGATTTAGAGTGCAGAGTGCTACCAGATATAATGAAGCCAACAGGCATATCACACAGAACTGCTATGAGGGAATTATCCAGAGTAAATTAAGTTCTGGATATGTCATAGATTGGAGACCATAGGTATTTAGGGAAGCAATTGAGTAAGAGTTCTTTGGCAAGTCATTCCACTAGAGTCCAGGGGTTAGGGCTCAAACTAAACCAATGAAGTTGAGAAGTTAGCCATTCAATGCATTTGTTGAGGTAAAAGTCATCATTTAAACCAGTAAACAGTAAATATACATAACTGGGAAAAGGCTAACAGACTAATAAATATAGTCTAACCACTTAATTAAAAAGTCCCATAGGCTGGCACAGGAGCACATGCTTGTAATCACAGCAACTCAGGAGGTTGAGGCAGAAGGATCCCAAGTTCGAGGGCAGCCTCAGAAATTTAGCAAGACCCTGTGTAAAAATAAAATTAAAGGGGGGGGGGAGTGGGCAGGGCCTAGTGGAGCATGCCTGTAATCCCAGCAGCTCCAGAGGCTGAGACAGGAGAATCTTGAGTTCCAAGCCAGCCTCAGCGCTAAGCAACTCAGTAAGACCCTGTTTTTAAATAAAATACAAAAAAAGGACTGGGGATGTGGCTCAGCAGTTGAGTACCCCTGAGCTCAATCCCTGGTACCCYACAAAAAATTAAAAAATAAAATAAAAAAGGGCTGGGGAGGTGTCYCTGGTTTCAACCAGTACATAAAGAAAGAATTCCACAAATGCACTTTGGTAATTACTAGCAGAGGCGAGGAGAGGAGGACAGGAAAACTCAATTTCTTGGTTCTCCTAAAGACACCATTGGAAACCTGCTCTGTGTTTGCTATTTCTCTTATTTTGAGATAATTCGGGGCTTCTCCTGCTTCTTGGACTACCAAGCCTTCTTCAGATCCCTAGGTCAAGTCTGGTGGATCCCTCTCCCAAGTCCTCCACATAGCCTCCTCTGCCCTCATCTATCTGGCACCTCAAGTAGATGACACTTGGTCAATTCCCAGGTCATTTCAGAAAGCAGGGGTACCCTCATTTTTTCCTCAATTATCTTCTCCCCAACCCTCAAACCATACGTTTCCCTCTTTCCTGAGAGAAGACCACCCTATTCTCTGCCTGTGCATCCGGAGACGGTCCATTCCGACCCTCAGAGATGGACCCCCCTCGTTCCTACTTCAGCAGGTTTCAGGTGTCTGCCCACCGACTCTATCTGTGGGCCTGCTCTCTCCCTTGTCTCTTGCCCTTGGAAAAGGACCTGCCTCCTGACCCTTCGGCTGCAAACCGAGGCCTCAAACGCGCCCCTCGGATGAAATTTGGACCCTCCTTTCCTCAGCAGGACCCCTTCTCGGCTCTCGCTGCCACCGACGCTCCGAGGGTCTCCCGCGGGCGGCATCGGGGCTTCCCTCCCCTTTGCCTCCTCCCGGGCGGGCGCCAGGCCCCTCCCAGCTACTCATCGAAGGGCCGGAGCTCACGGACCCCGCCCGTGGGGGTACCCCGGGCACCCCCGACCCCTCGCCCGGGTCCCGGGCGCCCAGACGTCTCGGTCTGGAGTAGCTCTGGCCCTCCAGGCCCCTCGGCCGAGGACTTCCGGGCCCCTCAGTCCGGGGGCGCGGGACCCCCCACCCCGTGCCGGGCTCGCCGGCCCCGCCGGCCTGGTCCCCGGGACCCGAGCACACGCGGCGCGGCCGGCCGCGCTGGGGGCGGCCCGGCTGCTCGGGCGGACCCAGCGGCAGCGTCCCCCCACCCCCCCGCGGCGCCGCGACGTCCGCTCGCTCCCCGGCGGCGGCGGCGGCACGCACAGGGCGTGGGGAGGCGCCCGCGGAGGCAGCAGCCCCCCGCCCCCTGCGCGCCCGCCCGCCCTCGCCGGCCGCCGCGCGGCCCCCGCGCCCGCCCCCCCGCCCCCACCCCACCCCGCGCCCGCGCCCGCGCGCCCACCCCTCCCCCTCCTCACCGTCTCCGTCGGGCGGGCGGGCGGCGAGCGGCCAGGGCGGGCGGGCGACGGAGCATGCGCAGAGGCCGCCACGGCTGCTACCGCCACCGCCGCCGCCAGGCCGGGCTTCAATACTTCCGGCCGCCGCCGCCGGCGAGCTGGCGCCTTAAAGGGGACGCGTCCCTATTTGCCAGCCCCCGCCGAGGATAAACCTCAGCCGAGGGATATGGGCTTTTCGTGAGCAGRGGGTCTTAAGCCCTTGAAAGGCAGTATTGGAAAGGTCGCTAGTGACCCCAGAAACTCTTCTCCCCACACACACTTTTTAAGGCCTAAGTTAAAGAATAACCTCATCCACAATCAGGGACAAGCCAGGTTTCTCTACTCCTCTGGAGGACTCTATTCCGTTTACCTACCCAAATCCTATTTGATGCAGTTTATAGCTTATCAGATCTTCAAGTTATCATCCAATTATCAATTTGAATCAAAAGATCCGGTGGAGGAGGGGAGAAGCATGCCTGTAATCCCCGTGACTCGAGGCTGAGACAGGAAAAGTGCAAGTTCCAGGTCATCCTGGGCAGTTTAAGACAAAATGAAAAGAGCTGGGATGTACCTCAGTGGCAGGGCACTTGCTCAGTGTGCGCGAGGTCTTGGGTTCAATCCCCAGCACGGCGCGGGGCGGGAATCTGGCTGAGCAAGCCCCTTACGTGTGACTCAGGCTTGTGTGCTAGGGCTTTCCTACTTGTGAGGTTCTGGTTTCAACTCCTGACTTATCTGTTGGAACTTTAACSACTCCGGAGGAGTGACTTGGCAGCTCTAAACCTGTTTTCCAAAAGACATAATKTGTATGTAACAAATAGATGATACATCAGAAGTGCTTAGGAAAGTTTCTGATCAGTAATAATAACTAACAAGTATTAAACCCCATGACCAGGCTTTGGGGGAGATGCCTTTGTTTAGTATAAGCCTCACAAAAACTGTGTTAAATAGATGAAGTTCTTTTCACTACCATTTAACAGATTAAAACGAAAGAAAAGAAAACATGAGAAGCTAAATGGGATAGCCAGGATGTAAACTCAAGAACTTCTCTCATCAGAGTACAGGGTTATAACTGCGAAGTTGGTTGCTATTGTTATTAAGAGTAATGAGTGGGAAATCTTCAGTGATGCTCTCTTGTAATCCCAGCAATTTGGGAGGTTGATGCAAGATGATCACAAATTCAAGGCCAGCCTCAGCAACTAAGCAAAACCTTGTCTCAAAACAAAAATAGAGGAGGTGGCTCAGTGGTAAAGTGCCCCTGAGTTCAATTAATTAAAATTAATTAATTAATAATATGTGCAAAGACAAAGAAATGGGAAATKAAGCTGAAGAGGGAAGCGATAGGGATTGAACCTAGAGTTTCCAACATAGTAAGCACACACACTGCCACAGAGCTACATCTCCAGCCCCTTGGTTATTTATTTTTATTGTTGAGAGGGTATTTCATTGTGTTGCCTATGCTGTCCAGGCTGGCCTCAAACTTGCCATCCTCCTGCCTCAGCCTCCCAAGTAACGGGAATTACAGGTATCTGCCACCATGCCTGGCTCATGGAATTTTGAAATCCTTTCCACCTGCACAGCCAACACCCAGCTCCAGCCCACAGAACTTCAGAAATTTCCTAGTGGTTAGCACCCCACCCATCCCATCCCCAAATGTTATTGTCCTAGGGCAAGTAATCTGTGAAGGAGATAAAATGTCAAATTATGTTTCCTCCCAGTTAAAAACCCCTCAGGGCCTTATCACTTGCTTTTCCCTCTTCAAGGCAGCTCCTCCCTCAGGTCTTCAGAGCTGGTGCTCATCTTTCATTCCTCTCCTGCCTTCCCTGGTTCCCAGCACAGGTCAGGTCCCACCCAAATGGTTGGTTCTCTATTATTGCCATCTCTGGTTCCATCAGGACCTACTATTTCAGGGCAAAGACAGCATCTGAGAGAATTCCTTCCCCAGGTCCTAGTTATTTTCTCTCACATTTCCCTGCTTACTTATATAACAACCTTCACAATTTCTTCCCTTTGTTTTTTTGTTTGTGGTGTTGAGGATTGAACCTAGGACTTTGAACATGCGAGGCAAGGGCTCTACCATTGAACCACATCCCCAGATCTCCCAGGTTTTATTTTGTTTGTTTTTTTCAAATGGGGTCTTGCTATATTATCCAGGGTAGTTTCCAGCTCCTGGCCTCAAGCTATCTTCCCACCTGAGCCTCCTGAATAGCTGGAATTACAGGCCTGTGACATGGCACCTGGCTAATCCTTACAATTTCAAATCCCCTAGATTATATATTTATCTATTGTACATCAATCTCTATCACCTATCCACCCAATATTTGAAACAGAGCTCATTGCATGCAGAAAAATTAAGAAAGAAAATGAGAYCTCAGGTGTGGTAGTGCATGCCTAATTCCAGCTACATGGGAAACTGTGGCAGGAGGATCACAAGTTCTAGGCCAGCCTAGGCAACTTAGTAAGTCCCTGTCTCAAAATTAAATATACACTGGGCACAGTGGCACACGCCTGTAATCCCAAAGTCTCAGGAGGCTGAGGCAGGAGAATCTCAAGTTCAAAGCCAGCCTCAGCAACTTAGCAAGGCTGTAAGTTCAGTAAGATCCTGTCTCTAAATAAAATTTAACAAGGGCTGGGGATGTGACTCAGTGATTAAGTGCCCCTGGGTTCAATCCCTGGTACCAAAAACGTAAGTAAATAAATATTAAAAGGAGTGGGGATGTAACTCGGTGACATGATGTCCCTGGTTCAATCCCCAGTACTGAAAAAAGAAAAAGGGAGAAAATTATATTGTCTGGATGCGGTGCTGGAGGTGTAGAGTTCATGCTTAGCATGCATGGATTAAGTTCAATCCCCCAGCAACAAAACAAACAAACAAACAAACAAACCAAACAAACTGCAAAGAGGAAAGACCAGGAAAAGGAATCTGTGGGAAGACTGCTATCATCATCCAGGCAAGAAAGAGCAAGGGCCTTATGCAACACAAGGTGAGAAAGCACATCAGCAGTAAAATATCTTAAGCTAGAGTGGCAATGACAGAGGGTCCTTCATATTTGGTGCAGACATGGTTCCAGAGTTCTCCACAAGCATGATTTGGAGCTTATTACAAATCCAAACGTGGCAGTGTCAAAATGACACTGATGATTTTGCCTGCTTTGCAATAATACCCCTTGGAGATGTTACTGTCTCATGGTATTCAGCTTCCTTTCCTCTGCAGGCTTTAAAACCTGAGAAGAGCCTGGTGTGGAGGTATACACCTACAATCCTTCCAACTCAGGAGGCTGAGGCAGGAGGTTCTCAAATTCAAAGATAACCTCAGCAACTTAGCAGGGCCCTAAGAAACTTAGCAAGACCCTGTCTTAAAAGAAAAAATAAATAAACAAAACATGGGTGGCTGGGCATGTGGCTCAGCGTTTAAGCACCCTTGGGTTCAATCCCTGGGGAAGGAAGCAAGGGAGGAAGGGAAGGAAGGGAGGAAGGGAAGGAAGGGAGAGTAGGAARGGAAGGGAGGGAAGGGAGGGAGGAAGGGAGAAAGAAAGGGAAGGAGGGTTGAAGGGGGGAGGGAGGAAAGAAAGCCTAAGAAGGGGCTAGGGATGTGGCTCAAGCGGTAACGCGCTCACCTGGCATGCGTGCGGCCCGGGTTCGATCCTCAGCACCAAGTACAAAGATGTTGTGTCCGCCGAGAACTAAAAAATAAATATTAAAAAAATAAAAATAAAAATAAAATAAAATAAAATAAAGATGTTGTATCCACCGAAAACTGAAAAATAAATATTAGAAAAAAAAAGAAAGCCTAAGAAGAACATATCAGCAATGAGCCCATGTGCTTCAGACTTTGTTCAAAATTAGAACCATAGGCATTAGTAACAGACCAGATTTGAGGGGCAGAGGTGAGAAAGGGTCAAGAAAGACCCTAAATGAAGGAACAAAGCACAAAGAGTTTGTTTGGCGAGTTGGGGATTGAGGAAAGATAGAAATGACTCATCATTTCAGACTGTAGAGCCTGGGGTGCTGTTGAGACATCCAGATGAAGGTGTCCAGAGGAATTGGATTGACTGGTCTCAGGCAAGAGGCCAAGGCTGGAATTTGGGACCTGTTGTGTAGATGGGACAACCAATCCCAAGAGTGGATGGGGTCACTGAGGAGGGTGTGCAGAGAGGGTGAGGACCAGAGGCTCAAACCTAGGCAGCACCAAGACTTAGGGAACCTGCAGTACAAACCCAAAAGTTGTATCCCTAGGCAGAGAGGAGACAGGAAGCCCACTGGGCAGCCAGGGAGTTTCCAGAAGGAGGGGATGACACCAATATTAGAAACTGCAGAGTGCCCTGGCAAGGAAAAGGAGTAGCCATTGGATTTGACAAATGAGGGGTCATTGCTGATCCTTCAGAGGCAGGGTCCTCTGGGGCTGGGGATATAGCTCAGTTGGTAGAGTGTTTGCCTTGCATGCACTAAGGCCCTGGGTTCAATCCCCAGCACCAAAAAACAAACCAAACAAACAGAGGTGGGGTCCCCTCTGAGGTTGGAGAGGATGCCAGAGTATAAAGGATCAGGTAGGAAATAGAAAAAGTGCAGAGAGAGTGAGTGGATATAACTCTTTAATTTTTTTCTTTTTTTTTTCTTTCTTTCTTTTTTTTTACTATAGTTGGGATGGTAGTGCAAGTGCAAGACTATAATCCCAGTCACACAGGAGGGTGAGGCGGGAGGATCACAAGTTCCGGGCGGGCCAGCCTTAGCAACTTAGTGAGACCCTGCATCAAAATAAAAAAAGGCTGGGGATGTGGCTCAGTGGTAAATTGCCCCTAAGTTAAATCCCCAGCACCAAGAAAATTGCAAAATACATAAGGATGCTATTTCCTTTTAATCTTTTTTCCATGCAATTTTTTTTTTTTTTTTTTTGGTACCGGGGATTGGACTCAGGGGAGTTTAACCACTAACCCACTTTTGATTTGTTTTTTGGTGCTGGGGATTGAACCCAGGGCCTCATGCATGCAAAAGCAAGCACTCTACCAACTGAGCTGTATCCCCAGCCCTTTTTTTGTGTGTGTTTATTATTTAGAGACAGGGTCTCA